GCTCATTGGGAATCTCCTAACCATCCCAAGAATAATCAATTTCTGGTTAGTAGCCTTATAAGAAGCGCACTGGCTGGTTTTGTGTGTCAATTTGACACAAGCTGGAGTTATCACAGAGAAAGCCACCTCCTTTGAGGAAATGCCTCCATGAGATCCAGCTGTAAGGCATTTTCTTAATTAGTGATCAAGGTGAGAGGGTCCATTGTGGGTGATGCCATCCCTGGGCTGGTAGTCCTGGGTTCTATAAGAAAGCAGGCTGAGCAAGCCAGGGGAAGCAAGCCAGTAAGCAGCACTCCTCCATGGCTTCTGCATCGGGTCCTGCCTTCAAGTTCCTACCCTGTGTGGGTTCCTGTCCTGACTACCTTTGGTGATGAACAACAATTTGGACGTGTAAGCTGAATAAACCCTTTCCTCTCCAACTTGCTTCTTGGCCATTATGTTTTGGGCAGGAATACAAACCCTGACTAAGACAAGAAGTTTCTGAAAATTTTCATCCTGTGCCCAAATAAACCCTTTACATGTGACATGAGATGACAGGTAAGGGGGCCACTGGAAAGACAGTCTGTTAGGGCCTTCATTTCACCCATTGGGAATTTTCATGGTGAGTGACAATGAATGTCCTGCCCCATGTGTGACAATGTTAGCTCAGATTGCCCCTGCTGACTGCAGAATACAACAGAGTGCTTTATCATGAGTCCTTTTCCTTTCTTATGTCTTGTCAAGCACTCAGTGCAGTGTCATCCCATACTTGGTGCCCTGAAAACTCTATTTGTAAGTGTCTGAGATAATTATGTTGAAGTTTGGTTCCAACCACAGAGTAGCCATTTGTTTGAAGAGGCTTAAGTACAGTATTTATATGATAATATTTCACCAAAAAGGTGACAAATATTTTGGGCAACTGAGTTTCTCCTCCTCCTCTTCCTCCTCTTCCTCCTCCTCCTCCTCCTCCTCCTCTTCCTCCTCCTCCTCTTTTTCCTCCTCCTTCTCTTCTTCCTCCTCCTCCTTCTCCTCTTTCTCCTCCTCTTCCTCCTCCTCTTCCTCCTCCTCTTCTTCCTCCTCCTCCTCCTTCTCCTCCTCTTTCTCCTCTTCCTCTTCCTCCTTCTCCTCTTTCTCCTCCTCCTCCTCCTCTTCCTTCTCTTCCTCCTCTTTTTCCTCTTCCTCCTTTATTTATTCACATTACCTCCTGATTGCTGTCCCCTTTCCAGTCTTCCCCTCCCGGAATCCCTTTCTTTCTCTCCTGAGATGGTGGGGACTCCCTATGATTCCCTCACTTTAGCTCATCACCACTCCCCAGGTTTAGGTACATCCTCTCCTTAGTCATCAGGGAAATGGAATTCAAAAAGACCCTGAGACTTTACACTCATCATAGTGGCTAAAATTTAAAAAATAAAATACCAGTCTAGCATATAGTGGAGAGGTTGTGGAGAAAGGGGAACACTCCTCTGTTGATGGTGGGGCTGCAAACATGTACAACCATTCTGGAAATCACTCTGGCAGTTTCTCAGAAAATTGGAAATAATTCTACCCAAAGACCCAGGTATATTGCTCCTGGGCATATACCTAAAAGATGCTCTACTGCACCACAAGGATACATGTTCCACTATGTTCATAGCAGCCTTATTTGTAATAGTCAGAAACTGGAAACAACGCTGGTGTCCCTCAATTGAAGAATTAATATAGAAACTGTGGTTCATTTACACAATACTATTGCAATACTATTCAGCTATTAAAAGCAAGGACATCATGAATTTTGCAGGCAAATGGATGAAACTAGAAAATATCATCCTGAGTGAGGTAACCCAGACCCATTAGGACATGCATGGTGTGTACTCATTTATAAGTGGATATTAGTCATAAAGTACAGGGTACCCATGCTATAATCAACAGACCCAAAGGAGCCAGATAACAAAGAGGGCCCAAGGGAAGATGCTTGAATCTCACTTAGAAGGAGGAATAAAATAGTCATAGGAGCAAGAGGGAGGGAG